GGATGTGCAAAGCTCAGGGATGTCCGAGTGCGTCCTCCTGTAACGATTCCCAGGCGTGCTAGCCACCACCGCCAGTTCTGACAGTCTCGGTAATGGTGAGAAGATCTCTGTGGTTCCCAAAGAGCTGTACACAAACCATTTGCCAAAACCACATGAAGTGAATAGAGCAGCCAGTGTGCAATTAAACATGAATCTGAATAGCTACACGGCTATAAGTAAGGTAAATACAGTCAAGAACTAAAGCTGCACTTGGGGAAAAAGAGATTAATATTTTTTAGTGAGTTTTAGTATTGAGGTCTCCACCATACTAGAGTCTTGGAGAGGCTTTTTCTTTTTTCACTGTAAGCACGCAAGTATTACTTCAGAGCCATCCATGTTACTAATCACTCAGTCCCTTGCAAGGTCATGAAGGAGCAATAAATATAAATCGTCTAAATCGTCGCTGCTTCACTGATGGCGGTGGGGTTCCCCTGATGAACACTGGAAGAGGCCCTTCAGAAAAACTTATTCTCAGAGGAGTTAAAAAAAAAAAAAAAAGACACGTCATTTTCCATGGACAGGAATGAGAGGGATGTAAGATGAGGTTAGACTGGTGGTGTGGACCAAAGCAGATGTTGTGAGCTCAGACCCATCCGTCTCTGCACCTTCCAAGTGAGTCTTGCACAGCTGCGCGTGGCCCATCTCACCTCTTGCAGCTGGACCTCACGTCCCCGTGCCGGCACGTCCCCGTGCGTGGCATCTCACGCACTGGAAGAGAGGAAACGTGAAATCTCTGCTAGTTTTTAAATACAAGATAGGTCTGATTCCTCGGGCTATTTTACATGCGTCGTTTACCATCTGAAGAGGAAATTACTCTTATTAGCAATTAGATATAATGTCAGTCCCAGCAAACCTGCAGGAAAAGGTTTGTGATAGCGTGGAATATGTCATGTTTCTCTTTTATTTTCAGTTCAGAGCAGTCATTTTCCAGGCCTGTTATGTGGTGGTTCGTGCACTCTGTTACACCCAACTGCTATGCCAGAAAAGAGGAATATAGGCAGCAAACCATTTCCATGAGCTGCTAAGCACTTTGCTGATGTTTTATTCTGTGAACAGGTCCATGCAATTCCAAACCTCTCCTTTTCAGAGCTGCTGTGGGTATTTTCGATGTGGATGGAGCACCTGAACAGCCAGGCTTTGGGACTCTATAATCATAGATTGCTGTGCCCAGACCATAGTAATTCCAAATGAATCATAATTTCAACATACAGCAGCTGTAAAAGATTTTTTTATATAGGTAATGTGTTCTTTATGGAAATTCTCATTAATGCAAATAAGGGAGGAAGTCACTCTCTACATTACAGCGTGTGCATATCAGTAGGTACCTCCTGACATTAGTGATGAAAATCCACTTCTCATTATGATTACTTAGGAGTTTTGAATTCCTCATGTGTATAAAATGTTATGGGAAGCCATTATGTTCTTGGTACGGCAAGTATTCACATTTTATTGGACCCTTCAGCATTGCTATTAAATAAACAAATAATAGTAATGTGCTCATAAAATACATGAAGATTCCTGAAGTGCTATAATAATATAATATCCCAGCTCTCCTTCCAGTTGAAAGTCTTTTAAGTTTAATTCTCACCATCAGAGGCTGACCCAGAAAACGTTTTTTTGGGTTTTTTTTTTTTTTTTTTTTTACCTGTGGGTAATAATCTTTATGTAAGGCTTAGGTTAGCTGTATGTGCTGCCTTACAAAGCAGGGGACAAATCTATTTTCTTTCCCGGCTGACCTTGGACGAGCCCCTTTTGCTTTCTGCGCATCATTAGTAGGGTGGTGGACCTATACACGGCACGGGTCGCTTGTGCCAGATACCGTATCGGTGTTTCTGCCGCGGTGAAGGGTTATTATTTGCCTGAATTGCTTCTTCCGTGCATGGCATAACCGAGCAGGTAGCAATTGCTGCGGCGAGGTCTTGAAGGAGGGTGTGGGAGCAGGATTCTGGAATCTACCTCTGGTTTCAGGGCTGGAGTGTGGTCGGAGCATTGCTGCTCTCTGCAGGGCTCGCTGGATGCTGCCCGCATCCGAAATCCGAAATCCCCACCCGGCTCTGCCCCTGAAGTGTTAAGGGCAGCCTGCCATTGATGGCCGCTGCTGGGAAATGTAATTTAGGTTTCGGCTTCCAGGCTCTGGGCTGTCTTAAGTTAATTATGAGCATTAAAGGAGGAGGAGGAAGAAAACAGAGCGGGAGGAGAGAAACCGAAGACTTTGAAGTGAGGATGACTGGGGGAGCCTGATAGAAGAGGAGCCTGCTTGCGGGCAAGAGGTAGCAGGGATGGATGCTCGTCCTCTCCTCCTCTTTCTGCTTGCAGTGAGGAGCAGAAATGGCAGGAACTAACTCAAAAGGGGGTGAAGTTCTAGGTGAAGCGATATGTTTGATACATTGCATATCAAGCCTGCTGGGAGGATTTAGACTGCAGCAATCACTGAGAACGCAAAATCACCTTTACTTTATAAAAATGTGAGCAACTGAGTCCCGTTGGGTACGTCTCGATACTGATTCTGTTTGCGTCTTTGTTTTTGCTTGTCTTCAGAGTATCGAATCTGTTGGTAGAGCACAGTCCAGTCGGGAGCGGTGCCTACAGGTCGGTGGGTGAGTGGCTGGAAGCCATCAAAATGGGCCGATACACGGAGATCTTCATGGAGAACGGATACAGTTCGATGGATGCCGTGGCTCAGGTGACCCTAGAGTGAGTAGTGCCCAGATCATTTTCACCTCATTTGTTGGAATTGCAGAGCCGGGGGAAGACAAACCATTCAAAAATACGCAGGGATGAGGCTGCAGAAGGGGAAACCATTACCCTTTGTTTGCAGTCAGCAGTTTCTGGTTTAGCATCTGTATTGATGATAACGAGCGCAGGCAAGACTAAAATTTATGGTCACTACATTGGCAGCCGGGATTTTGGCTCCTTTACTCACAGAAATTAATGCTTGAGTTTGAATAATTGTCAGGCTGGCCTCTTGACATAAGAGCAGTTGCTTATTTGGGGTTATCGACAATTAAACACACCCCCCCCCCGCGTAAATGTATAGGAGCTAGAGTCCCTGCTGAGGTATACTGGCTTTACACTGGATTAGCTGGTTTTACAGTTGATCTAGACATAACCAAGTGGACAATCAAGCCCAGTAAGGCGTGGAAATAATATACAACATTAACAGAAATAAGCGTAGATACAGCCGATGCCAACAGAAGAGCATCAGCAAGCCCACAGCTCTAGGGAAAAGGCTCTTCTTTCTGAATGTGCCCTTGGTTTTTGCCCGTGGGTGTGACAGCAGTCAAATGACTCGGTAAATGCCGTGGGGCTGCTGATTCGTTATGCTCCCCCTTTAATTGCCTGCCTTGCTTGTGTAATTACATCTGTACTTTTCCTCCTGCTGCTTACTTAAACTGACCCCAAACCCTGCCTTTCTAGCTGGGTTAATTTGAGCTTAGTTTACAGCAGGTGTTAAGGCAGAATGGGAAGGATTCTGCTCCGTGCTGCTTTGGAGAAAGTCGTGGCTCCTCTGACCACATGCAAATTGCCAGTGCACATACAGAATTGATGCCGAGCATTAGGAATAAACCAAGAAAAATCCCCAAGTCCCTCAGAACCACAGCATTTCTCCTGTCTGCTTGCTGCGGAGCTCACCGTAGAGGGTAGGAGGTCCTTGGCACGTGATGCAGGTTGGTAACATCTCCATGGGGTTCAGTTTTTCATTACATGCATAGAGGGAGTGCAGGAGCATACCTGCTCCCGCACTCAGATTTTTTTATCACCAATATTTGTCCCTTACACCTGGACTCATCCAGTCTACCTTCAGGCATTCCCGTGAAAACCCTGAGCTGGGGATTAAATCCTCTCTAGCGACTGCCTAAGGAGTCAGGGTGCATGGATTTCTTCCTAGATCCTTTTTTGGGTGCCTGAGACTCTTACCTGTGGTTTCCCAGCCGCGTCCTGCAATTACATGCCATGTTATTTTGGCTTTTGAGAACTGCACAGTTCTTTACGTCCTCATCTGATATGGCAGTGCCCAGAAACACCAGGCTTCGGGGCTTCATTTAGACTGGTGATCTACACACGTTGACCAAGGAAGAGGTCCAGCCCCAGGGTGGTCAGCGTCCATGCGGCAGAAAGACCTAGCCAGAGGGCAAGTGGGAAGAGGAGGAAGAGGATGAGGCAGCAATTTAAAAGAAAAGGAAAACATTGGAACAGTCCCCTCTACTGTGCCACCACAATCTTATAACCAGAGCAAGTTCCAGTAGAAAATGCAGATTGTCTAAAATATGTCACAGATTTGTTGCTGTTTGGCTGAATTAGTCATATCAAAGAAGAAAATTAGGTTTCACGAAAGCTTCCAGGTTGTTCCTCTTTAGAATTTTGTGCAATTTCAAGAGCTCTAAAAGAAATGCTCAGAAGTGAAATGCTTTGGTTTGGGTCAGAGAAAACGTTAAGTTTGAACCCAAATTAGTGGTCATTTTTGACAGTAAATTAGAAGTTCACTTACTTGTGTAGCTTCAAACGGTCTTAGCATCCCTCTGTGCTGACGCAGTCTTAACATCCCATCCCACTGACAAAATTATTCCTAACCTCCTATTTTCTTGAGTGCAACATTTCACATTGTGAAACTATCTCCTTAATTTGACTTAAAAATTTCAATACTTCCCTACATTTACTCTTTGGTATTCTAGAAATTTCAAAGGCATCCCCCAAAATCTTTTCAGACTACCCAAAAAGTACTTCAAAATGTTATTTCTGATTGGCAGCAAACCAAGAAATCCATTATCCGTACAATTCTAGCCAGAAAGGCAAGTTGACTTAAAAGTCTGTAAATTAAGACTAGAACTGCCAGAGATGCTCTGACCCTCACCAGTTGCAAACTACCTCTAAGGCCCCCTCCACCGGGTCCCAGTATGTTCTCCATAGCACAAACATCATCCCACTCTGCTCTTTTACTGGCCCCAGTGGAGACAACGTGTCTGAGCTGCTCAGCTTCAGCTTTCTTCGGGGTTTTTACAGCAACAGAGATGATGCCTGGGAGCCTGGGGAGCTTCTGAGTTTTGGTTTGTTGTGTTTTTTTTTTTTTATTTTAAACTGAAAGGAGACATTTCATGAGTCCATCTTGCATGTCTGTTGAAACTGAAAAAGTTATCCATGCCAGCAAATAAATTCCTCCCCCCCCCAGCTGCATTGGACAGAGATGCTTGCATGAGTCAGGCTTTGCCTTGCAGTGGTGGCTTGGCAAGGCGGCTTGACCCCACTCGAGTCTGGGTTTGGGAAGACTGTGGAAAGTTCATTAAAAAACCATCCAGCCATCCAAATCAAGATTTCTCTCATCCCTCTCAGACATAGTAAAAAAAGACAAAAGACCAGATCCTCAGCTGTTAAAAAAGGAGAAACCATCATAGTGACTTAAGAGGAAAGGTGTCCTGCGTTGAAGACCTGAACCACGGGCTCAGGCTGATGTAAACTGGCAGATTACCCTTAAAATCAACACAATAAGGGAGAGAAATGGCTCCTGGGTGGGCTCAGCTGAGACTCTCATGGGTTCTCCAGAAAATAAATACCAGAACAAGCAAAGTTCTGTAAAGGTTAATACATTGGGAGTTTTGGTTTTCTGGAGGTTTTCATTTTTTTCTCCCCGTAAAAGGAAACATTTTGTACTCTGCAAAGGAGAATTCAGGTTAAATGTTACTTGTCATTTTTAATAGAGGCAACTGTTCAGTATATTCCAGAGCTGGGACTTGGGGGGATTGGGTGAAAAGATGATCTGAACATCTGAAAGTAGCTTGCTTTCCCCAAATGACATCAGTAAACCGTTCTTTACAATTTAAGAGGTTGCCTTCAAATACCATCCAAAATGATCTTCCCCAAATTCAAACTGCCGAGGAGACAGATGCGGAATTTAGATGGAGAAAGGAGAACTGGATAATCGCTGCCAGAAAAGGCAGGGAAAAAAAAAAAATTAAAAAAATATGAATGTAAAGACTTCTTAACATCTACTGAAAAAAAATTACTAACGCCGTAGGAGGAGTTGGCCGTAACGCTGATGGGACTGGTGGCTGTGGGTGCCCAGCTTGTGGCCTCTTTACAGGACCTGGTTGAGATGGTAGATGTTCAGCATTTTTTTTAAATCCCCCCCCTCAGCATGCAAAGCACGATCCTGATTACCGCCCTGCTTCTTTCAAACTGATGGCTTGATGCTTTTGTTCCAGAAGAGAGTAGTAGTAATGACAAATTTCTGAAAGCGAAAGATTAAAAAGCTAAAACCAGTCAATATCGCCCCAAGTCCTGAGCTCTGCCTGCGTAAGCAAAGACCTGAAAATGTATGTGTTCAAACAAAGAGTGATTTCTACATTTAGCTCTAATTCTTGCAAAGGGATGAATCACCTTGTGAAAAGTGGAGCCTCACCCTCCACCCCCTCTTTCCAACTGGATATCAGACTTGAAGGCAACTTTTCCAGTGGACCAGACCTGCTCTTTAAACTTGTGGACCATCTAGTGACTTTTGAGTGTGTCTGGAGCTCTTTCAATCCACTGCAAGAATAACTTTACCAGGACAATACTCAAGAATAGATAGATCCATGACATGAGTTTCAGTCTGACCCTTGACTGGACCAGTTACTAACCATGTGGACTACATACTTCCACCTTTTGAAAGATCTGTACTCACTGAATCTCAGGACACCCTGTTGTTTGTTATTAGATGAAGAGCTCTGAATATTTGTAATAATATGTGCTGTGTTGCTTTGCATTGTATATATTAATTTTTTTTCTTCTAAAATAAAATAAATTACTTATTGAAAGCTATACTGGATAAAGAGCGTTTAAGAGTTCACCTGCTCTAGATGCTTGTTCTTAACCTGAAATCTCAGTCCTGAGATTGCGATGCTGCATCTGCTTCTGAACAAACCAATTTTCATCTCATAATCAAGAAGGACGGGAATAATGAATAAGAGCAGATGAACTCTTAAAAAAAAATAATAATTTTTCAAGTCCTCATTTCATGCAAAAGTCCCTAGCAAGTGGAGTCCTCTCTCTTTAGCGTCTTCTGAAGGTCTTTGAGGTTCTTCTTGTTCCCCTCATTCAAAGTGACAACTAACTCACTCCGTGAGTAGTCGCAGTCTGCACGGGCAATTGTAGCGTTACACCACGTGAAGAAGAGTGGTGAAATCTGGCCTGGATGGGAGATGAAATACAAAACATCTGTGGTAGGTTGACAGCTGCCAGCCACGGAGATCTTTCAGGAACCTGGCCCTTTTGCTCGTGTGACTAACCGGCTGGTGAGGGGGGTTGTGTTTTATGTGGCGATCCAGTCCTAGTCTACACTGTGTTTGACAAACTGGTCCATGGTGTATTAAGTAGTTCTGTTTGTAAATAAAATGTTTGAAATATATTTCTTACAAGGTGGAGACCGTGAATTCAACCCTTGCAAATGGAGGATATTGCAGGGAAGGGGATACCCGTGTTGTCCCTGGCACGTTGTAGCCGGGCTTTCGTGCAAGCGGTGGTAAGAGAGCAGCATGTGTGCAGGTGTGTACAGGCTGTCTGGGAGGAGCCGACACCAATTTTCCCCTTTATTTCCTTGGCTTTTTGGTCAACTTAGTGGTCAGCCTCTTACTACTGTGTTGGCATGCAATTCAAATTCCTGCCCGTTTCCATTTTCAGCCCTAGGTGAATGAAAGGGAAGTGAAAAGGGGAGACTTCCCCCCGAAACAAGAATAAAAGTTGTCTCATTGCTGGGGGAGTTGAAGTATTTTGCAGCACGGAGACCCCACAGCAGAGGGGTGCAGGTATCCCTGCTGCCTCGGGGACCACCCGTGCCGCCACCGCAGCACCCGAGGGTTCGGGTCACTTGCACGGGAAGGTGCAGCCTGGACCCTGATCGCAAATGTCGTTTGCTCCCGGGTCTTGGTTTTGCCTTTTCTTGCAGGGAATGGCACGTTTCTGTTGCAAAGCCCTGGCAGATCCCCACACATACCTCCTCCGCGGAGCTGAGCCCAGTGATACTACCAGTTGGCTGCAGTAACGTGAGCCAGGCACCTCTGGACTGGAGCTTGAGAAGAGTTTTTCCAGCCCTTTGGCACAGAAGTTGATTTTTTTTTTGGTCCCAAAACCAGCTGGTTTACATACCGGATTTTGTTTAAAATTGGCTTCTGCCTTACACCGCTTTAAGTCCTTCAGCACTGGATGCGTGGGAGCTTGCAACGTGCTCTAAGTCACGCTTGAAAAATGGGAATTAAAGCTCCTGCATTCTCTAGGCGGTTTTTGGAAAGTTTTATTGCCGGCTTTGCGATGCGTGAGGTGGCTTTTGAATAAAGCTGCTGATTTCGTACTAGGTGAGCATCTGGCTCAGGAGCTGCTGTCTTCTGGTCTGTCTTTGCAGGGGTAAAAGACCCCACAATAACGGGTTTTCCCCTCTCTGAGGAGTCCCCCCACTTTCGCCAGTGGCTCCGTATTCGAGAGGATTCGAAATTCAAAAAAAATAGACTGGATCCCCTGGTGAGCGGCTAATGGATTGAAACCAGAAACTCCTTTTTCTTCTTTCTGTCTTGTAAATCAATGAGATGCTTCTCAAGGATATTGAGTTAAGGAGATACTATAAGGGGGGAAAAAAAAAGCTCTGTAGTGAGTAGGGTATTTTTTATGAGACTGATGGATCTGCATGTGAAACGCCAAGACGTACATGCCTTTCTCAAAGTTTCAGGCTATTTCTTTCTGCATAACATGCAAGAACATCAGAAACGATACATCTGTGAAATACGTGATGCTGGATTTTCAAAAGAGCTCAGCTTGCACTTTAGATACCTGGGGGAAAAAAAAAAAAACTGAATTTTCAAAAAGTGCCAGCAGAGCAGCACTCAGCAGGGGGAAGATGGATGTTGGCTCTTTTAAAAAGCAGGTCCTATATTGGGTTGGGTTTTGTTTGGGGTTTTTTTTGATCTTTGGTGTGAACTTCCAACTGTGCTATGTACATAAAATAAATTGCATGTAACAATAGCATTACTACATTTTCCTTCATTATTAAGATGGCTTGCTGAACTAGTTTCACAATTCAGTGGAGGCAGAAATGAAAGCGTGTCCCCCTGAGAAGGCAGACACCTTTTGCAGGTGCTGCAGCCTTTTCTCTGCCAGGTAAGGAGCATTGCTGCTGTGTCGCATCGACCTCCTTTGCTCCATCCCCCTTAGGTTGTGATTTCCCCTATGCATCGGCGAGATACATCGCTGAAAAAGGGTATGATAATGAAATGAAGTGATTAGCCTGGAGCAGAAAATCTGGTATTTTCCAAATCAAAAGGCTGAAAGCATGACAATCCTTGGAGAACAACAGATCTAGCTTTTGGCTTCAACCAGCTTACGTGTTAACATATCAGCCTTCACTTGGGATTGCTTTTTATTCAAAGCAGTGTTCATCGCTGCAATTTTTGGACGTGGATGGTTGGTTGTATTTGCACAGGAGTCTCTGTCCAGAACGTGAAGCTGCAGAGAGAGGTACACCTCCACGGGTAGCTCACACAACGTTATGTGCAAATGTTTTGGTGGTCATTGCACATGTTCACCTGCAGTCCAGCATGCAGCCGTGCTGTGAGCTGTAGGTCAGGTTTGCAGTGTGTCTCAGGTGATGGTTGGGCTCCCAGGGGTTACTGGTGATCCCCAGCCCTTGGACGTGCCAGCCCCGTCAGCGTGGTTTCCCAAAAGTACCTACGTGTTCGAGAAGGTCACGTCCCGCTGGCTTTCAGTGGAGAGCTTTCTCCTAAAAGACTCGCACGCAGGGTGTCAGACCCTCTGGGATTCACATGTGTTTTGGCAAGAGCCTAGAGCCCTCCTTTGAAAACGTCCTTTATTCGGTCCAGCCTGGAGGTAGAAAGCCAGGGGCTGTGTTTCTCTAGTGGAAGCCTTCAGACAAAACACCACATCTCCTCCAAGTCAAACTGCTTCTCTAACAGTCTCTGTGTCCTCTGGTGGAAACACCGAGGCACCTGTCTTGATGTTTCTTCTGAACTTTTATTCCTACAATTTCTTTCACCCTAGGAAGAAATCCCTACAGTTATACTCTGCCATAACCCATGGCCTTACCTGCCTTTAGATGTGTCACTGAATCTGATCACCAAAGGTCCTGCTGTAATATCTCCAGGGGACAACTTGTCCCACTTGTGTCTTTGGGTGGGATAAACTGTTCCCTGGAGGTGCCTCTTTCACGCCATCAGCATGAACCTTGGTGATGACTTTGATGTACACACCTAAATTGTAGCGGGCTGCACTTCTGAGAAAACAAGCTTTCCTCCTAATTCTGCGTTTCACATAAACTTACCGTATTTTACAGCTTTCCTGTAACGGCAGCCCAGTAGGCAGGCTCAACACAAGCCTTTGGCTTGTAGAATTCACCCCTCCCAAAAAAAAAATTTAAACATAGGTTTACGGGAAGATTTGCAAAGGCCCAGAGGGAAGCTGCATTGCCAATTCCTGTTGATTTTAGGGGTTCATCGGGGTGGTGGCCACGCTCAAGGCTTTTGCCGTTCAGGTCTGTGTAGGAACTGGCTCTAGGATTGTGGGTTGTGTATCTTTGGCTTTGCCTCATCCGAAGAGGAAGGAAGCGTGGATTGACCTCACTCCTCACTGCTCGTAGCCGAAATATAATACCAGCCTCTTGCAAGAGAAGAGGAAACCGCAACGCAGGCTTTCTTACCTGGCTTTTCTCTTGGAAACAGGACTTTTCACGCCTAGCAGAGTCCTTGGCCAAAGGTGACGCTGACACTTTGCTGTCCAGCTTTTCTCCTTGGCCAGCGAGGTGATCTCGGTCAAATCATGTCACCTCTCCGACATGCTGTCAGCCATTAAAAAAATTAAAAAAAAAAAACAAAAAAAACAGGGGGAAAATTAAACTTGCCAACTAAACTTGGCGTTGGGAGCTGCCAACGGTAAGAGGTAGGCGCTGGCAGCAGCGTCGGCGCGTGCGGCGCGTGGTGTGCGCGGCGGCGTGTCCCTGAGAGGTCCCTGGAACCAACGTCTGCTTTCTCCCACAGGGATTTGAGGCGGCTGGGAGTGACACTTGTTGGTCACCAGAAGAAGATAATGAACAGCCTTCAAGAGATGAAGGTCCAGTTGGTGAATGGGATGGTGCCGTTGTAACTCGGTTTTAAAGTCGCTTCCTCAAGTGGGTCGGTCCTGCACTTTGTACACTCGCCCTGAGATATATTTTGACTAAAAAAAACAAAAACAAAAGATAAAAAGGGAAATTCAGTTGTTTCTATAACTGAAGGACATTGGCCTCTGCCGCAGCGTTTCTAAAGCAGTGTTTGACTAAAGTTCTCCTTTTCTTCCTATTTGTGTCCTCATTTTCATGAAGTAAATGTAAGATGCATGGAACGTGGAAACTAATCTGCTGTACGTGAGGTTAACCTGTCTCTTAAGCTTCAGCGACGACGACAACAAGCCTTCCCACCACACGTTGTCTGTACATGGGAGATAGAGAGATATATATAGCACCTTTATATACTGAATTACAGCAGCACATGGTAATACTTCCAAGGACTGACCTGAGCGGAGGAGTTTTGTAGCCGTTCATAGGCTCCCAAAAGCTGCAGTTTACTGAAGTTTAACTTCGAGTCTTTACTTGTCTACAGAAGTGTATTGAAGAGCAATATGATTAGATTATTTCTCGATAGATATTTTGTTTTGTAAATGTAAAGAAAAAAAAAATGCTGTTACACAGCATTAAGTTACAGAGACTAGTGTATAAACATGTTGCTTGCTCCATGGCAAATACAATACAGGGTGTATTATTTTTTTTTTCCCTCCCTCTGTGTTACCGAGTTCTTTTCGTTTGCTCTTCTGGGAGGATAATACATGGTGAAGATGTATATACTGTACAGTTTGCTACGCATCAGGTACAAGATTGGGGCTCTTCCCTTGGTTTGTTCTTTTTTTTCCCCCGCCTCTTTGGCTTTGTTTTGTCTCCCTATGTTGTGTTACCGCTATGCTTTGTATTTTTGCTGCTGTTTGGTTTGAGCAACATATAAAGCCTTCAGGAATTTTGATTACGTATAAGAGGTAGAAGGAGTCTGGTTAAATAAAAGACACCGCCCCTCCCCTCTTCCTTTCCACCGTGGGCTGGGGACATCCAGAAGAAGAAAAATAAAACATTGGTTCACGGTGGCCTCCGGTGTCGACGTGGCGTCGGTTTTTGTGTGTACGAGTCCTGCCCAAAGATAGCCTGGGATTGCCTCCGCACCGGCCCTTCAGCCCAGTAGCCATCACCCAGTGCAGCCCTTGCCCCTGTCCCTGGAGCCCAGGAGAGAAACCCCGAGGTGGTTTTAACTGGAAGGAAGAGATTTTGTTGTTCCTCTTCTCATTACGGGGGTTAAGTTCTGGGGTGCGGTGTGGACGTGAGCCCATGGTCATCCAGCATGGAGATTTTGCAGTATTTCCCCCAAAGTGGTGGTGGTGGGGGGGGGTGTTTTGGGAACTGTGCTGTCCCAGGTTGTCCTGCTGGGCATTTTTGGTTTGGGTACGGACCTGGCCACTTTGGGGCAGAGCGCAGAGAGGAGGGAA